AAAAAAAAAAAAAAAAAATTAGCTGGGCATAGTGATGAATGAATGCCTTTAGTCCAAGGTACTTGGGAAGCAGAGGCAGGAGTCTTGAGCCCAGGAGTCCAAGGCTGCAATGACCTGTGATTACACCACTGCATTTCAGCCTAGCCAGCAGAGTGAGACTCTGTCTTTAAGAAAAAAAGAAGGGAAAAGAAATGGCAAATGTTTTTATATCACATTAGGATTGGGACTGTCTCACCACAACTTCAACATGATGACCGCCATTAGACTCACCTCTGAGTCAGTGCATTGATAAAGCTACACAGAGTACTCTATCACACATTTGTTTTTCACATTTGATAACTACTTTCTAGAACCCCTGACTAGGTCAGTGCTCTGGTCTCATAGATAGGATGGTGAGGCCAGCATACCTAAAGTGGCTGCCCCTGCCAGGCTTTCCTCACAACCAACCTCTGAGGAAATAAGAATGGAGACAAACAGCTAGTAAGTACACAGTAGAGTGGCCAGCTGGCATGCAGGGACCTCTCCTGTCCTAGCGGCCGCAGTATGGCTTTGAATAAGTCACTGTACCCCCACAAAGTTTTTGTTTTTCTCATCTCTGAAGGAGAATCACAGTCCTGGCTCCACAGCCCAGGCGCTCGTGGTGCCAGGCATGCAGGCAGTTCTGACTGTGGCCATGAGGTGGCAGGCCACACCAGGCCCTAGGTTCTCTTCTAGCCTGAGAACTCTTAAGACTGGCGCTTACAGGAAGCAGGAGCCCCAGCCTTTTTCCAGCCCCTAGTTGGGGCTGCAGAAATGCCTGCTCACAGCATAGACCCGCACCCCTGAGATGAAGCACCCCTTCCTCTTCTGCGTGATTGAGTCTGAGCCTCACCACACTCTGAGACCTTTGCATAGCAGGAATTATCAGCCCGGTTCACAGATGAGGAAATACACTCGGGAGAGTTTTGACTCACCCAGTGAATTAACTGCCTGGGTCTGCTGCTGGGGTCTTTGCTGGTCCCTGGGGACACAGGTGAGTCATCAGCCCTGCCCCTCAGAATCCCCTGAGACGGGCAGATATGTAATGTGTGCAGCAGCAGGGTTTGCTGGGCTTTGGAAATGTGGCAGTAGAATTGAGTCATTTCTTCCTGTATATCCTTCCTGGGCAAAGTTGTGGTTGTACTCAGACTTGGGTTTTTAGCCATGTCCCTGGAGTGATGTGTGGCCAGAGTAGCAGCAGCTTGGAGATAGATTTTAGGGGCAAGGGCCGATTTATCCAACAATACTTCTTGAGTGTCTATAGCGTGCCAACGGCTGTTCTGGGCCCTAGGGCCACAGCCACAAACAAAACAGCAAAAATCCTGGCTCTGTTCTAGTCAAGGAATCAAACAAGGTAAAGAAGTAGAATATGTTCGAAAGTAGGGATCCTTGTCAGGTGGTAAAGGGACAAGATTTTGGCCAGGCACGGTGACTCATGCCTGTAATTCCAGCACTCTGGGAGGTTGAGGAGGGTGGATCACCTGAACTCAGGAGTTTGAGACCAGCCTGAATAAGACTGGCACCAGCCATGTACACCTGAGCTGGTAGGTTTGAATCCAGCCCGGGCCCACCAAACAATGATGGCTGCAACCAAAAAAAAATAGCCAGGCGTTGTGGCAGGTGCCTGTAATCCCAGCTACTTGGGAGGTGGAGGCAGGAGACTCACTTGAGCCCAGGAGTTGGAGGCTGCTGTGAGCTGTGATGCCACGGTGACAGCTTGAGGCTCTGTCTCAAAAAAAGGGGGGGGGCAAGATTTAGATAGGGTGACCAGGGAGACCCTACTGTGACTGTGACTTTTTTTTTTTGAGACAGTCTCTCATTCTGCCACCCTGAGTAGAGTACCATGCACCTGTCTACAACTGTGACTTTTAAATAAAGACTTGAGGGTGGTGCCCATAGCTCAGTGGATAGGGCGCTGGCCACATACGCTGAGGGTGGTGGGTTCGAAACCCACCCGGGTCAGCTAAAAAACAACAATGACAACTGCAACAAAAAAAATAGCTGGGAGCCTGTAGTCCCAGCTACTTGGGAGACTGAGGCAAGGGAATCACTTAAGCCCAAGTGTTTGAGGTTGCTGTGAGCTATAACGCCCTGGTACTTTACCCAGGGTGACAGCTTGAGATGCTGTCTCAAAAACAAACCAAAACAAAAGATAAATAAAGACTGTGGACAGCACCTGTGGCTCAGTGAGGGTGGCGGGTTCGAACCTGGCCCTGGCCAAACTGCAACAAAAAATAGCCGGGCATTATGGTGGGCACCTATAGTCCCAACTACTCGGGAGGGTGGGGCAGAGAATCGCCTAGGCCCAAGAGCTGGAGGTTGTTGTGAGCTGTAACGCCACAGCACTCTACTGAGGGTGACAAAGTGAGACTTTGTCTCTAAAATAAATTAATAAATAAAGACTTTTAAGGGAGCAGGAGGTCGGGCATGGAGCTGCCTGGGAAAGAGCACAGTCAGCAGGAGAGGCAGCAGGTGCCAAGGCCCTGAGTTGGGAACTTGCCTGGTGTGTTCTGAGTCCAGCAGGGAGGTCTGGATGCTGCACAGCAAGAAGGGGCAGAGTGGTGGGAGATGAGTCACAGGAGCACTGTGGCCAGATCGGGAGCCTCATGAGCCGCAGCGAAGGCTGTGGCTTTTACTCTGAGTAAACTGGAGTTGCTGGAGTGTCGGGGCTGAGGGATGTGGCCTGACTTGGGTTTTAAATGGATCCCTCTGGCTGCTAGGAGAAGAGTAGGGGGCAGTTCTGGAGCCTCTTTCTAGAAGAGTTAGGAGTGGCCTGGACTCGGTGGTGGCCAGGAAAGAGGGAAATAGATGTTCTGCAGCACTGGCTGTTTCCAGGGAGGAGCTAGCAGGACATGCTGGTGGCCAGAGATGAGAGACACGAGAGGATGAAGTGTCCATGATAGCTCTGAAGGTTTTGGCCTGACTGGCTAGAAGGATGGCATTGCCCTTGGCTGAGGTGAGAAGACCATGGGAGTGGCAGGTTGGAGGGTGCTCCAGTGGCTCTGTTTTGGGCATGCTCAGATTAAGGTGTCTATTAGGCATCTAAGTGGAGAAATCGAGCAAGCAGCTGTACACGTGTGTCCGACATTCAGGGAAAGCTCTGGAGATATAATTTGGGTATCATCAGCAATTATATGGTTTTTAAGCCATAGAACTGGATGAGCGCACCCAGGTGGAGTGTGGGAGAGCAGAGCTAAGGACGGAGCCCTGCAGCTCCAGCATTTAGATGCTGGGCAGAGAGGAGGGCGCAGCCTGTGGGGTGGAAGGAAGCCTTTGGGTCTCCTGGGAGCGCGTCACAGAGGGAGTGAACAGCTGCCTCACATTCTGTCTTGGGGCCAGCGAGGTGAAAGCTGACAAGTTACCACTGGATTTTGTGCTAGGGAGGTCTGGGGTGACAAGTGGTGGGAGTAAGAGGCGGCGGCGTTGAGGATGCCCCCGTCTCTAGTTTGAGTGAGAATGGGTGTGGATGCCCCCAACCCCACCCCCAGCTAAGAGGAAACAGGATGAGGCAAGACACTTCTGAGGCCCCCTGTGGCCAGGGAAGACATGAGCAGCCCCGTTTGTTCTTCCCACAAAAGTTCACAGAGCCCCTCTCGTTTGCCTGGTACTGGCAAACAGTCTTGTCCCAGCTGAACCCCACTGCCCCCCACCCCCAGCAGCCTGGGTAAAGGAGCTCCTTGTGAATGGTGCCTCCGCAGCCATGATGGGGGCCGCTCTCCCTCCCTCCTTCCTTCCCACCCCTGTGAGAATGTCTTTCTCAGATCCTGGTAAGTGAGCCTTTGGGGCCCTGTTGTCTGGGACTAGTCCTAGCTGGAGCCCAGCTCTGTAGTCCCTGTGTGACCTGGATGATTTACTGGACCCAGCCCGCCTTGCTTGCTAAGCCTTCGTTTCCTCTTGAGCAGAGATCAGTCTGTGGGTATCTCTGGAGGCTCTTTGGGGGATTGTGGAAGCTGCGGTGGTTGGAAACTACTTCATAAAGTGTGGCGTGAACAAAGGTCACTGTGATGGGCAGTGGAGGCCGAGCTACCCTCTGGCAGCCCCCGCAGCTATTCTGAGGGAGGCGGCCGGCTGCTGCGCAGCTGACTCACGGTGGCTCTCCGTTCTCCCCGCAGGTGGAGAGCTTTCGGGCCACCATCGCACAGCGCCTCGTGCGCATGCTCCAGATCTGCGCTGGCCACGTGCCTGGTGTCTCGGCGGTGAACCTGCTGTCCCTGCTGAGGAGCTCCGAGAGCCCCTCCCTCGAGGATCTGTGAGGGCCAGTGGCCCCTGAGCTAACCTTCCCCAAAGCCTGGTGCCAGCTCCGTCGTTGTTGGCAGGGACACCTCAGGGCTTGCTGGGCCCTGGGTCAGCTGCAGTGCTCTCGCAGGTTGCCGGCAGGGAGGGTGCATAGCCTGTGCCAGAGCTTTGTGCCTTTAACTGCCAAACATGTGACATTGCTACTTAAGATTTTGTTTGAACAAAAGGGTCTGCGGCTGAAAAAAATTTGCGAACCAACTGGTGTCACCTACTACTTTGCCTCTGCAGATGAGGAAACTGGCTGAGAACAGTTATCAGGGAGCTCAGACTCCTGAGCTGGGTCTCAGTCACATCCTGGCCCTGCTTGTTCCAGAACCTCATTGTTGCCTCTGGGATCTCAGTTTCCCCAGTGTAAATAGAGAGTTCTGCTCACCTCGCAGGAGGGGACCGAATGGAACAACGGAGGGTCTGAGGCTTGTCACTCCTGCCCTGTGGTGGGTGGACTTGCCGTGTTCATAGCACAGCCTCGGCACCTTGCACACTCCCAACAGACCCTCCGGCAACAGTCACTATTGGAAATCACACAGAGCTGGCAGCATGCAAGGGTCAGTGCGTAGGGCACTGGCCACAGACACTGAGGCTGTGGGTTTGAACCCGGCCTGAGCCAGCTTAACTGCAATGACAACTGCAACCAAAAAATAGCTAGGTGTTGTGGCAAGCATCTGTGGTCCCAGCTACTCGGAGGCTGAGGCAAGAGAATCACTTAAGCCCAAGAGTTGGAGATTGCTGTGAGCTGTGACACCACTGCCTCTACTGAGGGCGACATAATAAGACTCTTGTCTCAAAAAAGAAAAAAAGAAAAGAAAAGAAAGGAAATCACACAGAGCCAAGTCCAAAAACAGGTGCAGATTGGGACTCATACCACAGTGTCAGAAGTTAGTGAAATGGGCCAGGTACGATGGTTCATGCCTATAATCCCAGCACTTTGGGGGGGCAAGGTGGGTAGACCATTTGAACTCAAAAGTTTTTTTTTTTTTTTT